TATAGATTATTTTAAAAAGAAAGATTTTCTAAAAAGTTATAAAATTATATAGAATTTGTGAGAAATTCTGAAATTTATATAAAAATTTTGAAAAATTATATAAATCAGTGCTCGGAATTAGTTGCCCATTTCGGGCAGATTCCTGTGGCGAATATATAAATATTTATGATGGAAAATTTTACTTTACCGAGTCACATATATTTAATCATCCTTTTTTATTTCTTAGTGAAATAAACCTACTGAAGAAACTATTTGAAAAACGTATCAATAATAGTACTTTCAAGATAATATGGAAAGCCATTGTCCATATTATAAATTATCATATTGTAATTTTTAATTATATATTATTGCAGAATATAACATGTTAATAATAAAATATGTTAATAATAAAAGATTTATTTTAATTATTTATTAAAATAAAAATTATGTATGGGAAAGAAAAGATTTTGATAATATTTGCCGGAAGATATGCTCCCAGCATACTTTTCGTATCGCGACGCTTCTGGGGCACAGCGTCACGTGAGCGATCGGCGGTTCTGCCGCCGAGTTTCGAGTAGTAGTGGGGGTCACCACAGGAATCTGCCCGAAATGGGCAACTAATTCCGAGCACTGATATAAACGATCAGAAAATTTTTCGCCAGGGTGTTCTTTGTAATTGAGCTATGTTATTTTCTTTATTTAAAATAAAATAAATATACATTATAATTAAATGATAACAAAATTTTCAGATTTTTAAGATTATAAAACTTTTAGGAAGTGTTTTCATACAAGTGTTTTGGCCTGTATACAGTTCTAAGAAAAATAAAACTTTCTCAGCATTTCTGAGAAGTGTTCCAACTCAGATCGGAGGAATTTTCTAAAAAGTTATAAAATTAATTAGAATTTGTGAAAAATTCCGAAATTTATGTAGAAGTTCTGAAAAATTATATAAAGAATTCTCAGAAAATTTTTCACCAGGCTCTTTGTAGCCGAGCTATATTATATTTTCTTCTTCACTTAAAATAGAATATTTTCTTCTTTACTTAAAATAGAATAGATATATAATTAAATGTTAAGAATAGAAAGAGGAAGGATATTAGCATGTGCCTTCTATTCATATCAATATGCATACAAAAGGTTCAGCTGTAAAGAACAAACCTGAGTTTGCCCTTTGTAGCCACGCGCTGTTATATAACTTTTGCATTTAAAATGAAAGTGCACGTGAATGAACATTGAAGAGAAAAAAGAGATAAGATAATACGTATTAAAAAAAAGCTCAGCTACAAAGAACGAGCCTTCCATTCTGTAATGCTACGAAAACCGCTATACATACATGAAGGCAGTCAAGGATAAAAGCGCAATATGAGCACTTTGACCGGCAAAATATCCAATATATATTCCGCCAAAAATACAACGATATTAACATCGTCTATTTCGTCGGTCAATATGTTTACATTATGTTTTTACCATTAAATAGCTACATGTACAATAGTCTTCAGCTTGCGGCAGTACCGAGTAGTACGAACGATCGAATTCGCAATCAGCTATGCATTCGGCGAATGCGAATTGGAGACTAGAATCTTATGAATCAGATATCTTTGATCTTAATCCATTCAGTCCTGATTAATGGAACTACAATTTCCAATCTCCTCTTAATGAATACGCAATCTGACGCGGTTTTAACGAAGCGCCCTGGAATAAAACTCGTTCATCCAATAGAGCGACTTCAAGTCACTGTAAATTCAAAGCGACTTTGACTAAATTCCGATTAATTCGAACGGTATATCAACAAATTCTTTATTTCGTAATATTTCTAAAAATAATTATATTTTTAAGAATTTTTTATATTTTAAATTTATGAAGACTTTCTATTTTTTATCGAGTAATTCTTGTACTTTTTTGTAACTTGGAAAAAATGTTAATTTTTTTAAGTAAATGGAATTATTAATTTATAATATAATAAATGGAATATTATGAATTTTTAAATTAATATGCTTATGATTTTATAAATATATTTATGTAATAAATTATATAAATCTATATAGAATAATACATATATACTTATTGATTTTATAAACACAATTTTATAAGCAGATTAAATTAGACTAATGAGAGTCAAGCAACGTTGAACGGCGCA